ATCATCATCATCATCATCATCATCATCATCATCATCATCATCATCATAATCATCATCCACTGGAACCTGGCAATGGGATAGACCCAAGGAATAGCAGCAAGGAAGAGCAAAAGGACGATGGAAGATTAAGAAAAGAAACATGTATGGAGTATAATCACGTGTGCATATGTATGTATAGTATATAATATAGCTACGTCTTTTTGTAGAGAAGGGAGGAAATTGGCGCCAGACACTGAGCCCAGGATCTGGCAAGCTTGGTCTTGCTGCTGGTTGATGCGATTGTTTCCTGGACGATCCGCGGGGGTGGGCAGCGGCTGAGTAGAAAGCCTTCCTGAAGAAGAGCTGCTGGTGCAGCTCCAAAAAGAGGCTACTCGTGGGTCTTAGCATTCATTAGATGTGCTGCCAGCCTCAGTGGCTGACAGCTCACTAGCTTACTAGGTTGCTACAAAGTAACTGTTTCACGACATGTTAAGAATGTAACTAAACATATATATATATATGCATTGTGTATATATACTATATGTTTGATTTCCTGAGAGATGCCAGAGTTACAAGAAATGTCTTCCAGTCAACGTCGCTCTAGATACAAGGAGGCTCCCATATCATATTGGGAACTCTTACACCGGCGGCGGCTGCCGGGTTGGCGGCGTACTGCTTGTACAGCTTGAAGCCGAGGTGCTGCCCCTCTCGATTGCCTGGTATTGGGACATGGGCTTCGGCCGAGTGAGCAGCTACATTTTGTCCATCTCCGTGGGAGTTAGTGTCCTGGAGGCTTTCAAAAGGTTTTGGACAAAAAATCACCCAAAAAAATGGTGTTTTGGATGGTTTTGCTGTGTGTTGCTCTTCAAGCTTGCTCACACTATCTCACATGTACTTCCTTCTTTGGTTCCAAAGACCGGTTTCTGGGTCCTTTCGGCCCTTCTTTCGGCCCTTTCAGCAGATCCAAGGTGTGGTTTTCTGGACCCTGGACACTTGGATCATTTTGCGTCGGCCGGTGAATTGATGAATGCCTACAGGTCAGTTCGATCTGTTACAGGAGTTGGCCATATGAAAAACATCACACCGGCCCCAGAGAGCAACTCACTCAAACGGAAGCACATCTGTACTCCTGGGGCCTACTCAACTTCGGTTTTCAGGACCAAGGTTTGGACCTATAGGTCAGACTGGACCTGTAAGATCGATTCTTTGGAGCATTTGAACCGGTCCTGCCCAGATAGCTCGATCGGCGCCCCAGGCCCCTGAAGGAATCGAGCTCGATCGGCTGAAAAGCCGTAGACTCTTTTCGCTTGGTTCGTTTTCGGCTGAGCTGGTGATGTGGCTGTTTTCGTCCAAACCTGGAGCTCAGTTCACGGTAGTAGATTGACCTGGCTGGAAAATAGGTTCTGTTCATTTTCTTTGGTCAACCCAAATCTGTTGCGACGAATGACTGGGCGAACATCTATCCCTGCTTTGAACCAACATGGACTGGGAAGATTGTACACTCCAGGAGATTTGAACGACTTCGCACGTACTTCTTGCAGAAGCCCGAAATGTAGAGCGTGCATTCCACTTCTATGATTTCGCTAGCTGTTTCATCATTGAGTTGGCGATTTGGACTAGGCTTGACGCAGAGCCATCCAAGGACATCATTCTCAACCTCAATACAGCGGTATATATCAAGGGGCAGCTCGTGCATGATCGCTCGGCGATTCTGAAGCGATATTTGTCCACATGGTTTGTGTTGGACATCAGCCTTGTCTCTTTGGATTACCTGAACATGGCGCAGGACCGGAAGGTGGTCTCGATCGAGGTGTGGTCGCCGAACGCTTCGCAGAATTTGGCAAATCCCAGACACGAAGCCTAGTGGCGGGGGTCTTAATTGTCAACCCAAGAGAGGTAGCCAGTGACCTGAACTAGGACCCGGACCCTGCTGCTGGTGTACCTATCGGATGGTCTATAAAGTTCTTCAACCTTTGTCGGACAGTCTGCTCGCGGCTCTCACCCGCTTGATCCCCTCTCGGACGCCCGAGGGCTGTCGGAGCAAAACGCATGGTCCAAGCGAGAAACATGGGGAACCTCAATCAAACTGAGGCAAAACCATAAATAGATCGATGCCAACACCCCAAAAAAACGTAGCGTTGGCCTTCATAACTGCAGGACTTGAACCTCAGCTGGCTGCGCTTCGGCCGCATCTTCCGGGCCTTCCGCATGCTGCGGCTCTTGAAGATGACGAAGCTGGAGCCATGGCTGTTAAGCGCCCGAATAGGTGGGGAAGTTACCATAGAAGAGCTGAGCTGACAGGACCTTGTTTGGAAGACTTGTTTGCAACGAGCTGAGGGCGGTTTCGGTGTGCGCTTCGGGGCGGGGCCCCGGCGGGGGGGGGCCCAAGTGGATGCTACCACCGAGCAGAGTCTGTTTAACAGAAGATCAAAGGCACTTCTTGGCGCGTTCATATGGCGACTTCGGGGGGAAGGCATGGCTTGGTGTGAATGTGAGACCATGTGGCCTCATGTCCCTTCATCGATTTTTTTTTTTTGCACGTCTTTTTCCGTCTGTCGGCTCTCTCATGAGAACATCTGTCTCAAGTCTTTGTTCCTTTGGAACACACACCTGGCCGCAAGCCGCGTGGTGAGCTTGATCTCCCCGTTGTGGAACTTCGTCCGAGCATGACATCGAGTGCATTCTAAGGAAGTGCCTTTCCGCTGCATGGTGTGTGATCCATGCCCTGGCCATTCGTCTGCCTTCAAGGGGCCAACATGGCAAGGTTCGGCCACGAACCTGTTGAAGGCGTCCTCATTGGTGCGAGCTAAAATGTAGCTCTTGCATTCACTGCAGCGGAGGTACGCACGATCCAGTTTCAAGTGATGGATGCCAGGCTGAGGTTCCTGCTGAGAAGCCACAAGTGCATGGATCATTTCCATCCTGGTTTGCCTCGGAGGAGTGGCTCTTGGGGCCTTCTCGCAAGGTCGATCGTTGGCCTCCTTCAACTCATCCAGCATGTTCTTGGTGTGATATCGAATCCTGCAATGCCGGCATTGGATGCCACTGCGGAAGGCTTCCCATGCATGGCCTGCAGTTGACTCCTTGACCAGCAGGTCTGCCAGAATCGTTTTCTTCTGCTGCAGCAAGGGAATCTTGTGCTCCATGACCTTGTCCTTCTGGTGTAAGAAATGGTCTTTGTTGCGAAGCAAAATGCTCATCCTCTCCCCTGCTTGAAGAAGGATCTCATGTGCATCATTGTCGACATGTGCTTGCATGTCCAGGATCTCCGTGGGCTCAAAAAGTTTGCCAGTCTTGGAAGCCAGCTTCTGAGTGTCTTTCTGCGTGACTCGTCTCAACTCATTTTGTTGCAACTCCTTGGTGGAGAAAAGAAGTGGCCAGACATGGGCAAAATCTTCGAACTCAAGCCCCGGGAAAAGGTCAGGGAAGGTCTCAAAAGCGACATGTGGCTTCCACGTTTGCCATGACTTGACATCATACAAGGCAACCGGAGTCTTCTCCACAACATGCAAAGCCAATTGCTTCAAAGCATAGAAGATGGCTCTCCTCTTCGTGGCCGGAGCCGGACAAATGCCTGTGATGGATGCAATTTGCTGTCTGGTTTTGGTGGTGTGAACGCAGACCGCAAAAGCAAAACGTCGATGACGCTTGTCTCCGCAAGTTGGGGCCACCGCAATGGAGCAAATGTGCCCTTTGTCAGCCTTGAGGAAGCCCAAGTCTTTCCATAAGCCCGTGCCTTCAATGGTGGCCAAGCCTTCCTCCGGCTCATAGAAGAGGCTCTGCACAAAACCCCGTTGCCACAGTTCTGGATCTGTGCCAAAGTTGAGCCGAGACACCCACTCCTCTGACAAAGCCTTCGTTCTCCCTTTCCAGAAGGAGCACTCCCAAAGAAGGTGAACAAAGGTCAAATCAACCCCACATAAGGGGCAATGGCCCGAGATGCCGTGCAAGGTGCCCTGGTGCAAAGCTCTCAAGCCCGTGGCGATCTCGTCGCTCGTGCTCCGTTGGATGTGACGGCTGATCATCCAATCCAACTGCCTTTCCATGTCGTGGCAACCTTCATAGCGTGTCAATCTCAACAGTCTTTGCCAGCGGAATTCGTTCTGCATCTGGGTGTGAATCAAAGGCCATGGATCCAACAAGGAAATGTGGCAGTCAGGAATTCCGCCATAGCCCGTGCGCTTCCATTTGTGGCCGTTGGAGACGTCAAATTCCAGATCCATCATGTAGGCCTGAAGGGCTTGAAGGGGTCCCGTCACCACTTGCCATCTATACTTGGCCTGCTGCAACGAGTTCAAGGCAATGTTCCAGCTTGACCAGAAAAGGTGCTGCTTGCTCTCATCGAAGCCATGGAACACTTTCCAGACTGTATGCAAATGCTGCATGATGATGGAATCGCCTGGATCTGGCTGATCTTTGTGCATGTCGAAAACCACGTCAACTGACCCAGAACGTTGTAGACGCAGTCCTCTGGCTGCCAAAACCCGGAGTTGCTGTCGTCTTTGTGGGGCGAGTCCGTTCGCCTGTGCTCCCCAAGACATCACTGCATGGATCGCCCCTTTGTGGAGTGGGTAGCGGATGCCCGTGGCGATGCGGAGGCGGTTCATGATGCCCACTCTGCCCTTGCCCTTCAGGAACCTTTTGCGGATCTGAGTGACCCGTCGCTTGCGGGCAGCCGTGGAGTCCACCCCTAGGTCTCTCAGGACGTCATAGTGTTCTGGATCACCTTCTCGAAGCAAAGCTTTCAGAGCCCGTGCCGCCTCTTTGGAGCTTGTCAGAAAGCCAGTTTTGTCCGTGTTCAGCTTCAAGCCCGCCAGCTCCATCTGATGCTGGAGAGTTCTGAAGGCTTCCAAGGCTTCCCTTGCAGCAAAGTCAGGATCCCGACTGTGTATGTCAAAACTGACATCATCAACCCAGGTTTGGAGCGCTGCCGCCGGGTGTTCCGTCACCATGCTTTTGAGCGGCCTGAACAAAATGAGCTTGGAGATGGCCGGAGCTTGGGGCATCCTTGCAGGATGCCTCGGTCATAGTGCCTGGGGTCTCCATTGATGCCCTCGGCCTGCAAAGTCCTGGGACCTCTATAGAGGTCGAGAGCCAGCTTCAAATGCAAGGGAGGATATGCAAGTTCTCTGGCGGGCTCAATGATGGCATCCAAATCAACATGATCATAGAAACAAGTGAGGTCAGCCAAGCAGGTAACAGTGTGAATGCCTTGATGCTTGGCAATCTCGGCATGAAGCATCCGACCGATGGCAATGCTCAAGCAGTCCTTGCCCGGTCTGGCCTGATCCCATGGGAGGTTCTCGTCCAGGGATAACTGCCATCGTTGCAGGTCCGCCTTTCTCACATGGCACCAACCCGGTGCAGGCAGCTGGTGAGGGCAATGGGACGCTCCACCGTGTGGTTCTTGGGAATGAGGACAATGTTCGTCACTCGCATTTGAACTGGCAATTCTCCTTCTCTTTCCATATTGGTGAGCAAGCCTGCCAGTTTCGCCACAGCCGGGTATGGCAAGTGTCTCAGAAAATCATAGGAGATCCCGTCCGGGCCGGCAGCTTTGTTGGGTAGCCGACGAAGCAGTTGTCCCAGTAGGTGAGATTGAATGGGAGGCAACTGCTGTGCTTGGTCTTGGGCTGCTTGATGTAAGAGATCCCACTGCCGAAGTGGCCTCGGATCCTCTCTGGGATGCCAGATGTCCTCCCACTGTTGTTGTCGTGCTGCTTGTCGTTGTTCCAAGGGCAAGTGCTGGTGAGGACGTTGCCAAGGAACATCTTTTTGCCGCAAACTGCGAAAGAGCCCTCGCAGTCCTTTCTGGTGGGCCTTCTCAAGCCAAACTTTGTATTCCTCATTGGTGGTGGCAAAGATGGCTTTGTGCGCAAGCTGCTCCTCCTCGGCAATGATGCGTCGAATCTCCAGGGGCTCATTCTCAGGATGTTGAATCCAGTGGGTCATAAGCGCCCGAAACAGATCTTGGCTCATGTGGTCAGAAGCATGTTGATGAAGCGTGTCCATCATGTTGAGGAGGTCCTGTGCTATTCTGGTGTGTTGAGACTGATGTACGAGGTTGACCCGTATCTTCATTTTGTCCCAGTAGGCCACGGAGCCCTTTTTCCAGGTTTGGGATCTGGTGTGATCAACCAAAGGTGCTTGATACATGGCGATCTTGGAGCCTCTGCCGGTGGTCGGGTTGTGAAGAAGCTGAGTCAGGTACTTCTCCGTTTGTGCGGCCCAGCGCGCAAAGTCTGACCCCAGGCCTGTGATGGTATGACCCATGATGTGAAAGGGCCCTTTCTCTTCCCAAAAACTTGTCCAAGCAGTCGGCAAAGCATGAGTGCGGCCAATGGGTGGAAAGCGTTGTAGTTGTTGAACAGGGATGGCAGCATAATCACAATTGAAGGCGACTTCAATGGCACAATGAGGTTTCCAGGGGACTTCCCAATTGGCAGTGACAGTCAAGCTGTGCACTAGGGAAGTTGACACCAAGAGGTAGTCCAGCTGCGCCCCTTGGAGAGTGGTGGGACCCTTCGTGTCAATGAGTTCGGCCCTGAATTTGCTTTGAATGACAGTAGCTGCCAATGCTCCTGGATCATTTTGCCAATCGCCGCCCAGGATGAAGGGAGCACTGAGATGGCTCAGGTAGTGGAGAAGGGAGCCCAAGATGTCAGCATTGGAGGTGGATTGCAGCGTCTCCCCGGTTTTGAGGTACAGCTGGATGATGAAAATCATGGTGTCTTGCCGCTGAAGGCCTATAGACATCCATCCATTGCCCTCCAAGTTGTAGGAGTGATCCAAATGCGTGATATGTCTGGTGCCATGGAGAGTGAGAAAACCCCCAGTGTTGCCTCCGCGCCCGGTGTTGGTGGCTGCAACGCCATGTGTCTTCCAACCCCTTGCATTGAAGTACTGTTGCACTTCAGCCAGTTTCTTGTCACCTAAATGCGCCTCTTGAAGGCACAGCAAATGGTCCCCTTTGGTCCAAATCCAATCTTGCACTCTTCCTCCAAAAGAAGTCACATTAGCGAAGATGAGATGAAGTGTCTCGTAATGATGCTTGGCTCGTTTGGCCTGACTTGGTTGTAAGGCTTCGACCATGTCTGGAGCCAATTCCTGCTGGTCATGAATCATCCACAGTTGCACCACTTCTTGTTGCTGTTGCTTGGTGACCTGTCCCAGAGGTTGGGGATAGTGGTCATCATCGGCCAGCCAGTAGGCATTGTCCATGGCATGTATGGTGACGTAGTGCCCATTCTCGTGTCCATGCCCCTGATGCAAAACCAGACTGACAATCCTGTAGGTGGCCAAGTGCACATGGATGCCATCATCAGAGAAGGGGATGTTGACACTGGTCTCAAACTCTAGGGCCCTGTCGTGCTTGGTCCACTGGCCTTGTACTAGAGCAGACCGTTGCATGTGCAAAATGAATCCATCAGGGGTACCGTAGAGGTACTGGCCCCCGTCTTCATTGGCCCACAGGTTGACAACCTCATCGAGCGTGATTGGCGTCTCCCCTTGTGGAAGGATCATGTTCAGGGGCACCTGTTCTCGATCCTCCAAACGGCCATCAGCATGGACATGAAAGAACTTCCCTCCAAAGAAGGTGCTTTCCGAGAAGCTCCACAAATGGCCAGCGAAGTCGCCGACGTCAGCCTGATTTCCTTCCTGGAAGTGCTGAAGGACGTGGTGCATGTGTGCGAGCTCCTGTAAATGGCAGGGTTGGTCAGCCGAGAGGAACTGGCGAACAGCTTCATGAGTTCGGCCCCATGCTATGGACTGATCCTCTGCATGCGCACCAGCCCAACTCCAGCAGCGAAAGACGGAGTTCCCAAAGCACATGTTGTGAGGATTTCTAAGGATGCTCGTCAGGGCCTGAGCCACCACATAAACATTAGTGGCCAGATGAGGAGCATCTCCCTGCACAGCCAGGATTTTGTGGAGCGTGTTCTCCATCCGGCGGAGATCAACCAAGAATTGCTGGCCTTTGATAACAGACCAGTGAGCCTCAAAATCGAGCCTCGACGCGTCAAGGTCTTTCTTGCAAAGATCATAGAGGGCCTGTTGACCCGGCGTCAAAAAGGGGGAAGAGGAAGTCGTGTGTTCTTCTTCCATGATGTTCATCAAAAGGGCAGCCAAACGAGCCGTTGGGGTCCCGCGTTCTGCAGAATCCCTGAGGATCTGCACTGAGGTAGGAGAGCTCGGTGCCCCTTGGCTCAATGGCTGCCCCGTTTGAGGAGGGTGGTGTGATCCACCTCCTCTCAGTTTGAAAGGTTGTGGAGCTCGCCAAGGCCCCGTGACTAAACTGGACCTGATTCGAGCCCCACGCAGCAAAAGGATCAAACGAGTTGACTAAGTCCCTGCAACTCTCTTGATCAAAACCCCCGGGCTGAAAGAATTCAGCAACCCCAGGATTGTCAGAAGCTGACGATGAGTTGGAAGGGCCATTCACGACCCTGTTACCCGCACTGCTGGTGCTCACCTGCTGTTTTGCGGCGCTTGATGTCTTCATCTGTGGCTTCTGCCGAAGGCCGTTTCAGCATCGTGGTGAGCTGAGCCTTCTGATCAGGCGTCAAACTGACTCTCAGGGTGTTAATGAACCCTGCCACGGCATCCGGCACAGTGTCCTCCATGGCCTCGCCTTCTTGGAGCTCAGTGGCAGGTTTGGTGGTCTTCACCATTTCCATGTATGTCGCACTTGTGGAATTCAGTGCTCCTTGTTCCGCCTCCAGCTTGGTTTGAATGCCCTTCATCTCTTCCAGCATATCACCATAGGCCTTCTTGGCTGTGTCGAGTTTCTGCTGGAGAATCATCTTGCGGTGCGATAAGTCTCGCAAAGCTGAGACCTGGGCTTTGAGCTTGAGGGCCATGTCTTTCTCAGTCTCAGGAGGAGGCTTGGTGATGCGTTCCACAAGTTCCTTGACCACGGTGGGCAATTGTGCCATGTTCTCCTTGAGCACGTGGGTCAGGTCATCAGGGTCCGTGCTGGGAGGCACAGGCTTGATGCCCAGGTGTTCTAGCTGTTCTTGTAGCTTTGGATCCAAGGAAGTCCAAGAGGCCCGCAGCAGGTCTGTGGTTGCTTTGTGGACGTGTGTGAGCTTGGATGAGCGATTGTTCCCCAGCCCTGGAGGAGGAGAGACCGGCTTCTGTCGAGGTGCAAATCTCCCCAAAGAGCGAGAAGGGGATCGTCGGCTGAACCCCTGAGTGGTTTGTCTCCAAGCCAAGCCGCACTTCCGGCATACATAGCCTTCACAGACCTTGTCTTCCCAAATCCAATTCGAGCACGAAGGGCCTTTACAGCACTGATATGCTCTGGTCCAGGAAGATCTTCTCCATGTGTTTTCCATGGTGGTGCTTGTTCGGGTAGCGTTGCAGAGGCCACCGATCTTCTCAGCAAGGACCTTCTCAGAGAAGTCGCAAAGTGCCAAAAGGCGATTGGACACTGAGAGCCTTGAGCCGAGACTTGAGCCAAGTGTCACTCTTGAGCCAAAATGGCTTGAGCCGTCTCTTCATCGATCTATATATCTACAATATATATATATATACAGAATACCCACCAAGTGGCACATGTTTTGTGCCATATTGGCAAGGATTTTTTGTCTTGTCACTAGTGCGAATACGTAGATCCATGGACAATCATGGACATGTTTACATATATATAAATATATATAATTGATTGCACAACTACAAGAAATAGTTTGATGCGTGGGTGTGTCATTTGAGTCGAGCAGCGACTGTATTTGAGGACCTGAATCCTGTCAAATTTTGCAAGGTTTCAAGGCGTTGATAGGTTTCCCGAGGGATGTTGCAACTTTCTACAAAATGGGGAGAGATGCAGCTGGACGTCATATCCAACAAAACAACAGCACCAGGTGACCATGTGTCGCTTTTCAGTCGTGCACATCTGTGTGCTTATTTCTTCCCCTCGAGTCAAGACAAGTACAGATTGCCATCATGGCCAGCTGTGAGGATGAGATCATTCAAGAGCTGGCAGCCTCCACGGGGCGCCAGTGGATCATGCTGGTGACTCGGCCGACTGGGCACAAGGACGTTTGTGGATCATCGTGGATCATCTAACGAACGTTCTGATATATTCAGATAAAGGTTGGTGTATATATATTAGTGTATATAATTCTTGCATCATTCATTATATATATATATATGCACTGCTAATATGCACATATAATATATATATATATACCAGCTTCTTTAAAGTGACCTTTTTGGAGTCCCTGAGTGACCATTTCCAGGCCTGGTGACCTCAAACCAAGGGATCAAAAGGTCACTTTGAAGAACCTGGCACAACGTTTTCCAATGAGAAGGTAGGTGATATGTTCACCCCAAGTGATTTCGTGGGGGATTCATTTTCCACACGAAGTCTGAACAGATGGACACAATGACTGTAGACTGTATGAACACTGGAGCTCCAAACCGTGGCAAGTTGACCTCCTGGTAATCTATTTTGTTCATTTTCGGTAGTTAACCAGGGTCCCCCATGTTTTGATCCACTGCCATATATATATGTACCTTTTTGTTCAATAGATGCACCATGCCATACCCCTTTCAAATCGTGGTTTGAGTGGAGCTTGCAAGTCACCAAACCATCCGAGGTCATTGCAATTCTGACCTCGGCCATTGCTGCCACGCTGGTCACGCATTTTATCACTTGCATTTGGTTTTGGATCGGCTACACCATTCAGCAGCAAGAGGAGGCAGACCGAACACCGCACCGTCGGCACCGTCGCTGTTTGCGAAGAACGGAGCCCATAAGGTCCAACAGCTTCGCGAAAAGGCGAAGAAGAGGAACTTTGGATGAGTCACAGCGCCCGTTTCTCCTCTCCAAAGTGCCCAGAACACCAAAGGAATCCCCATCTCCCCTCCTTCGCTCCCTCCTTCAAGGCTCTTCAGCAGGGGCGGGAGAGCTGGATCTTGAAGGCAGGCGCATGGGATCAACCTGGGGGCACGCAGTACATTCACTCCTTGCGCTACGTCGCTAAGTTGCAAGAGTTTGCGGAGAGCGCGTGGTGTTCGACCGTAGAAAAGGGTTTCACGACTCCGCGCTGAGTCGTTGGTATGGGAGGTCCGACGCGTGCGACTGCCGCTCGAAAATGTGTAGCGTGCGACTGCTAAGCAATCCAAAAACACAGACCAAGACGGATGGGCATGTCCTCCCAAAACGGATGCACCACCAAGCCATTTCCTTTTGGTGCATGTCTTCCTCATTAAAACCTGTGTTCTTTCCTCATTGGTGACCAACCCCACCAGCCCGACCCCGCCCGCGTGGGCGGCGGAACAGCCCGAACCGCCCGAACCGGGCCCCCCAAGGTCATGAACTCTCCAGCACCGCCGACGATTGCTCCGGAGAGCTGGGAAGAACGCTTGGTGGTGCCCCGGTGGAAGGCCGAAGCGAGGGTGGACAAATCCCGGCTGTGAGGAAAAATCCCGGCTGTGGGTTTCTCTTCCGAAATCCAGGTGCTTCACCTGGTTTGATGTTGTTTTCGGGGGATGGTTGGGTTGTTCACGAAAGATGAACAAGATGGTGTGTGTGTGGGTTCGGGTTTCACCTGGGTTTTCCCTCGGCGATTTGGGGCGTCCGAGATTGGAACGTCTGTTCGGAACGTCTGGTCGATCGTTACGGCGATCAGGGGAAGGCGATGCGACCGGGATGTTGATGAGGGGAAATGAAGGAAATGGCTGGATTATGCTGGACCGCATTGGATTCCAATCGAATCTTTGAGTGGGGTGGGGGGGCGACACTTGTCTCATTTTCTGCTGGAGTCGCGTCAGGAGGCCATGGACGACATGTCACGAAAAAAGGAGCAGCATATTGACACCCAAATAGATAGAAAATAAATCCCCACTAAAAATGTATTGGAAACCGTTTCTATCTATTTGGGGACCACTATAGGAGTGCTCAAGTTTCTTGCTTGATGTTTCACCTCTTGAGCTGGGCTATCCAGTAGCCTCCACTTCAAAGTAGAGCTTGCCGGGTCAGTTCTGTCTCATGGCGCCCATCCAAGGATATCATGAACAACCTGTTTGTTCTGGTGGTGTGCCTTGTGCTCAATGTGTTGATCAGCCTGGTGGGAGACAGCCTGAGACCGTGGCTGGAAAGTCACGATGTTGGCTTCGAAGTTGGGTGACTCTTTCAAGTGGTAGTCCTGGAAGAAGTATCAAAGAGGTCCAGCACCTTTGGAAAGGGAGGATCACTTTCGATTTTTTGGGGGGGGACGATACGACGACGATGCCATAGCCCAAAAGCCAGAGAAGCTCTTGATCGCCTGGAGACTCTGTGGGAGCAAGATCAGCTACAGAGATGGAGCTTCATCTCGATCTATTAAGGTCTCAGCCGGACACAGGTCAAAACCACAGGCGTGAAGCTCCACCAGAGCTGGCTAGTGCACGTTTCATGTGCATGCTGAAGACCCGTTGCTTGGATCAGTGCATCATAAGTACTTGGTCAGAGCCGAGCCTAATATAGCATGTGAAGCTATCTTTGGCCCTTTGAAGCCTTAGTTACGGCAGCCTCGCGGCGGACAAAACACGAATCAGCCAAAGGAATGGACGGAGCGTCCTGCACGTCAAAGATCCAAAGATCCTGTCCTTGCTCAGTGACAGAAAACGGTCAATCGAGAAGAGCATGAGCGGATGTGGCGAGGACGTGGAACGAAGAGCATCGAAGAGTGTGGCTTTTCAACAGGCATGGTAGCTTGACACATGTGGGGAGAGTGCAGTACTAACTTATTCACTTGTGGGGTGTCAATCATCGTGCCGGGGCAGAAAAATCCATAGCTCCACAGACGCATGCAAAGGGGTGAAAGGAGGACTGCTGGCGGGTGCTCGCTTCTGTTTTTGGTGTCAATGTGATATGCCCTGCTTCTATGCCAGAATCCTTGAGCCATCTTGAGCCCTCCCACGCTTGGACCCTCACGTTTTCACTAAGGCCACGACCTGATTGGGCCCAGGGACCTGATAGGCACGCCACTCACTCACTCCCCACCGGTTCGCCCGACGTTCCCACCGGGCGCCTCTCCCCGAAGCCAGACTTCCCTCCCTCGTACCTTCGGGCGCAGACCGGTCGAGACGAAGCTGGGTCAAGGATCGGAAATGTGATCTCGAAAATCTCGGGCACCATGGCAGAGCTCCGGGCCACTTGGGTAAGCAGGACCGAAGGGTGACAACCAAAGGTTGCCGAGACTCCACCCAAAATTCAAGGCTCCGCACTAAGTTCTTATGGTCCAGGTAGGTGTTTGTGTGTGTGTGTGTTTTTAGTTTTTTTTGTCCGGGCTGCTGGGATCCTCAACTTGATGGGAGTTTGCTCATGCTTTGCAACCACAGTAAGAACAAAAACCTCTTGGGTGGGTGGCCCAGAACTGCGGTGGGTGGGTGGGTCCAGAACTGCGGGTTAGAACTGCGGTCCTTCGATTTTTCCATGCAAAATCTCAAGGAAACCAGGCAAAAGATATGCGAAAGCATGTTCAAATGATTCCTTTCGAGACACCTGTAGGAGCCTGCGCTCCAAAAGCAGGGAAGGAAGGGAAGGAGTGGAGCCCTCCCTGTAAACCAAAAGATCGGATTCCAAAATTCGAGAATTACTATAATATGTAGACTTCCCTTGGGTCTTTGCGTTTCTACATCGAGTTCTGGCGTGTTGTGTTTCCTTTCGAACCTTTACTCTCCTGGCACTCAAAGAATCCCTGGTTTTGAAACCTTGTCGACGGCTTTTGAACTTTCAAACTTTCCTTTTTTCTCCGACACCGCGGCGCCGCGTGGAAAGGCCATGAACGAAGCCCGCTCGCGGCAACGCCGAGAGATCCGCGTGTATTTGAGCAACCAGGAGCCACGTCGGGGTCATTGAGTCATGTCGATTCCAATCGACCAGTCACTGTGGCAGGGGTGGTGTGGCTCGTCCCATCCGAGTGGATGTGGCACCCCTAACCTCCAACAGGCGCCCCTTTGGAACTGCTGCTGGGGAGGGTTTTCACCGCCCGACTCTGAGACTGGGCCACATCCGACTCCGCCATCTAAACGGGGTTTTAATCAGAATATAGACCCCCAAATAGACAGTATAGTAGATAGAAAAGTAGGCCCCCACTAGAAATGTATTGAAAGATATTGAACACCGTTGGACATGTTTTGTGGTGATTTGGGGGGGGGCTTGGGGGGCTGAGTTGATACGGGAAAAAGTGTGGTTCCCAGCATGCCAGACCAACTGTCTTGACCTAGTCAGAGGGAGAAGTGGGCTGTCGTGTGCATCAAGATGTTTGGAGCCACTTCAGAGACTGAATCAGCTTTGCACTGGAAATCAGTGATGTTCTTGTGGTGGAGTGTGACTCTGACTCTCTTGAACTTCTTCACTTCAGCTGGTGCTATCTACTTGGTGATTTCACTACCCACCGAACTGCCAAAACGCCAGACTGTTGCAACTGTCTCTTGGCCAAACCACGTCGATTTCGGCCTCGTCTTCCGCGTGCAGGATGCGTCCTTCGAGCTGGTGAGCCGCATCATGAAGTTTGTAGAGCCCCTTGGACTGGACTGGCTGCTCTGTAGGTCTGGCAGACGAGGAGGTCCCTGAGGTGGGAAGAAGCAGTCATGTCCGGAACTGGAAGAGTTACCAACAGAGGTGGGTCAGTTCGACTATCCCAGGCCAGGGTACCCAGGTGACGGCTCCTATTTACGGTCACTGGCCACCTCTCTTGGTACTTCTGCTCCAACATCGGAGATGGACCATCCAAGAGAAGTTGAGAGACGTGAACGTTTGGACCCTGTATATAGTGGTGCATTTGGGAGGATCGAGGCTTCGTCCAAATCGGAGGCTTCGTCCAAGTCGGAGGCTTCAACCAGAGTAAACCATCTTCACTTCCGGACGTGGGACGACACGTGGGAGTATGTCCCATGTCAGGTACAAGCTGGAGAAGATGACACCTGTGACTCTGGCGCCGGTCGGGGAGACCGGGGATACGGGGGCCGGTTGACGGGCGGTTGGACGAGTTCAGGGGTGCTGCCGGATGATTCCTGGGGTCCAAAGCTCAGACTCAGAGAAATCGGAGAAACAGGAGAAACAGCTGGATCTTCTGTGGCTCTTCCTCAGACTTTGAGGTCACTTTCATGACGATGTTGCTCGCCATGAGCAACTGAAAAGGGTCACAGGTTTGAGAGCAGTTGGCTTTCCCCTCCGTGGAAGGAAACACGGAGAATGGGCCTTCTCACCGCTCAGGTGACCTTCGACAGCAGCTTGATCTCGAAGACACTGCAGACCGAGCTCTACATGAGTCACCTGGTTGTGTTGAGGTTGATTTTGATTTTCTTCCCCTTCTGGGGAAGATTTGTTATTCCCCTTCGTTTTTTGCGTTTTTATATTCCCTTTGGGTGATCCCTGCTATGGAGAAGATTCAGTTATTTTTGTGCCCGTTCCTGGATGTTCCTCGAATCCAAGGTCAAAGGGGGGAGTTCTTGGAGGTTTTGCCCATTTTCCATCTCACGAAGGTCCGAGTCTGGGTTGAGTCAGAATGTGGGCCAATGGGCGTGTTTGGATGGATTCGGACTAGGAAGCCCTTAGATGGCCCTATGTTGGGGCACGTGGGATCAAGTACTGTATCACATCCATCAGCAGCCGTGGACCAATAGGAGAGGAGGGCTTCATTCATTCTTGCAGTCTCTTGCAGTAAATGTAGCTTCAGGCGTGTTATTGTTCAATAGTTGTTCATGCCTGAGTTCCACGACAGGCCCACATTTGGGGATCTATTGCATTCATCATGCCCGCTCTAGCTGCTAGCTGATGGGTAGACCCATCCTTCCTGATGGGTAGCACTGGTCAATTTCGCATCACGAAGCTGAAGGATTCGAGGAAGCGAAGGGGCCAGCGCGCAGCGAAGCTCGCGAAGCTCGCGAAGCTTGCGAAGCTCGGCGCCTGCCACGCTTTGTGCCGACAGGAGGTGTTTCCCGACAGCTTTGCCGCCATTTGTGCTTGCCTGAAGAAGCACGTCTTTGAGAGCAAGGACCCGGGCATGAGTGAGCCGGTAGTTCAGGGAAGCGGTTGCTTGACTCCGGAAACAAGGAGCCAAAATATGCGGATTGGTCAGAGAGTGACGCTAGAGAGTGTGATCATGTTCCAAACAGCTTTTGCAAGGGCTCAGTTCCAAGCAGCGACGGTTGGGGCACGAAGTTGGCACGAAGTTGGCCAAGCAAGACCTCGTGTTCCATCAACCTCATGTTCCGGCCGGGGTTGTTTTCTGTTGCGGAGCTCATTTTGGTCTATGCATGCATATCAGGGCCTGGATGGTTCTATGATGTTCTATGCTTGACATCCTTGGTGTGGGGTCCACGGATCTTTTTTCCAGTTCCACGATCACATCCAGCAAGCACCCTTTGCAGGATTTGCAATGCTCGTCCGTGTTCAAAAATCATGTTGTGTTCTTTTCTGGACAAGCTGGTACCAACAACAACTTGAGCCCGTCCAGGAGAGGAACATACCTGCTTATCCTGTTGAATGCGTTCCCATGCCAAACGACTGGACTCGTTACGCTCGTTTTGCACAGGAGAGGGTGTTCAGCGCAGGTGCTGTCGCAACATCACTCTTCATCACGGTGGCCGGCAAGTTCGTTTATATGGAGGCGCGGCCGAACACAGACGAAATCCTGACGAGATCCCGGGGGTCAACGAGAAGGCCTTGTGGTGTGACCGTGCATAATCTTGGCGGCTAAAAAAGGTAACATAACACCAACCATTGTTTGAAGAGCCCTGACGGTTTGAAGAGGAGGATGGTCTGAAGGTCCTTCTAAAAAACATGGACGACAAATGGCTGAAAGACAGATTGATGTCAGTGACCGGCCGTGTTAACAGTTGCTTCTCTGAGATTGTCTCGGAGCGTGTGGCTGTATTGTCATCCTGGAGTAGGAGAATTCCAAGAAGCAACGGGAAACGGCCGCAGGATGGTTGAACGTTTACCTCTATCATTACTAGACCTGGAGATCACGGGACTTTTTGGTAAAAGGGCAGGACAGCTGGCCATCTCCAGCAGGACAGTTGGCCTGCCCAAGAGAATCAGAAAAGTGTATCAGAACTGAGTGTTTGAATACCCAGATGTTTTTGGCTTCGAAATGGCTTCACTTCAGAAGACGGAGGAAAACGCCCTGAGTGCTTGGCTTCAGGTGGAAGACGCAGGAAAAGAGCAACTGGTGCAAGGCGAGAACCACAGCGACCGCGGCGGTGTGAGTTGCTGCGTCGCTTGCAGTGCGTTTGCACTGCAAGTTGGCCAAGAACCAGATGCGACAAGAGCGGCAATGCGAGAGAGGTGAACCCTGGAAGTCCAGTCGACTTGAAAAATGGTCTAGCATGGTCTACCTAGCGCTTCCTGTCTGGGTGCCCAATGGTGACCACTAAGTGTAGGGTTGTCCAGCCAGGTCACCCCTTGGAAATCTTGTTGCGCCTGTGCCGAGAATCGTCGGACTTTTGGGTGAAGACCGCGTGCGCGTTCGCGTGGAACGTAGCAGCGATGAACCAGCGCTGAGGCGGGGAGTGGTTTGAAGAGCTCGCGCTGTACGCGGAGGGACTAGTACATCACTCCACGCTGAGCTCAAAGGCCTTTTCGGAGGTGCTGTCCTTGCACAATGAGGACAGCTAAAGTTCATGTTCATGCAGCCCGCTTGGCTCGGCTCAGTTTTTGCGTGGAGCGATTTCCGGCTGCTTGGGTTGGATTTCGGGTTGGGGTTGGATGCACTATCTATCCTCCACCACAGGTGATGGTTCACCATGGGGCGATCTTGCAATGATTGTGTTGGATCCAGTGCCCCTGCATCAGCACTGATGGTGCAGGAGGTGTTTTTTCCCACTTGCCCCTTGCTCGTTAAAGATGCCATGTAGATATGAAGCAGACAATCTTCGGATGATCCAGTGATGAAAGCAACTTTGCTTGTGTGATCTGAAGGCCATTTTGGCTACATGCGCCAGCAATTGGGAATCGTCAAACTGTTCAATCAAAACGGGATGAGTGACAGTTTCACTCACCCCGCCACCCCGCCACCCCCCCGTTCGCCTGCTGTTTGCTTAGCTTTCATCTCCTAGGACTTCAACAGTACGTACACAAGGTGTCTTCCACGCTGGGCCTTATCTAGGCTTGTACTCCGACCTTGTGTTTGCAAGGTGCCGAACGGACCGCCAAAGATGACGTCCACCAGGATGAGCTCCTGGGAGCGACCTTCCAGCCCGGGCGAAGTGGTCGCCCATCTCTTCGCATGATTTCACCGGGCCGCGGTGGGCTGTGTCGGTGACCCCTCTCCACCTCCAACTGACGTGTCCCACCTCTTCGATCATGTCTCGGTCATTCGTTGGTGACAGCGGTGGAGGCGGCCGACAACGCCCAAAGGTTCTAAAGCCATTTTAAGGCATTTTGGCTTCAGCCACCAAGGGTCCCCGGCTTCTCCCAGAAGTTCACGAGCAGCTTCATTCGTTACTCCCCTCCATGGCCCCTCCTCTGAGCGCCCGCTGCCCGCTGCCAGTGGTTCCCACTCCTGCCCACCTATGCCAGCCCAGCTTGCCCACCTGTCCGATCTCCATCCCATCGATCCGCTGTGACCTGCGCACCCGCCCCCTGGCTGATGCACAGATTGACTGAGGTGGCACCAGGTGGACAAGGTTCTTTTCAACCGGATATGTTCCCAAAAGAACTTAGGGGGGGTTGAATATGGTGGAAGACTGCTTCCATTTGCTTCCCAATGTAGGTAATTATCTCCAAGATCTCCAGTCCCGCAGGACTTTATTGACAACTTGCAGAACTCCCCGGACTGCGCATCCATGTTCTGCGAGTATGCCAAGGAGCTGGCACCGTGCGGTTTCCGCCCGCCCCAAGACATGGCGCACAGAGCGGGCAAGGGGCAAGGATTTCATTTTGGGGGCTGGGTGAAATAGCATACCAACAGAGGTTGAAGAACTCTACAGACTATCCCATAGGTACCCCAGTAGGGTCCTATAAGGTCACTGAACCTCTTTTGGTAATTCCTGGTGATATCTGCGGCCGCTCGGAGATGGACTATCCATAGATCCATAGCCTCATGTTTAAGGTAGACTCATAGATTAAACTAACTGATCATTTGCAGCATAAAACCTTATCATATGGGGGGGTCCCTATTCATCAACTCTGCTGCATGCTGCACGTGTGTTTTTGCAGGAGTTCATCGACGGGATGCGCAAGAATGCCATGGGTGGACACCAGCATCAGCTCTACTTGTCACAGTACTGCTGCGGGAAGACGAAGATTTACCAGGCCGGACCAAAGGGTCGTGGAGCGAGCGAAGTCGTAGATGAGAATCGGCCAAGCGAGGAGGAACATGATCGAGTCTCGAGCGAACGAGTCCAATAATTCGAAGGCCGGTCGTTGATGTCCGGTCGATGTCGCGGCGGAGGAGATGTTTCCGGATTCCAAGACCCGTTTGATGAACATCCGGCTTTTCCCCACTGAGCCTTGCGTAGAGCCGTGGGGCTTGGGGACGGCCCAGCTGGGGTGGCACAAGGGGCAGACGAAGCGGTGGCACAAGGGGTGGGAGATATCGATCAGAGTTGATCAGCATTTTTGGTGTGATGTGTTTGGCTGAAGATGTGAGTGGATGGGTCAGATGTAACATCTATTAGGCCAACCAGATTGGGATGAAGATCCGTGAAGGGTGAAGTTTCTCGTGAAGAAGATGTCTAGACTTAGGAAGATGGGCATTACATGACCTAGCATGACCTGGTCTTGCGGATGAGGTGATGTTGTATTTTCCCGAACTGGGCGAATCCCCAAACCTGGGGGAAACATGGAAAACTGGTATGATGTTTTATGTTCTTTCAGGCTTCCTGGAACAAATCCAAGATGATGAGCCACTGCATGTCCAAGGAGCTGGAGGAGCTTCCTGACACATTTGAGTTGGAGCCACTAGATGTGGGAGATGAGTCTGGAGCTTTGCCACGCATGCACCCCGACGTTGAAAGGCGGCAGAGGGCGTGGGAAAAAGCAGCAGTTCCAGGCCTCGTAATACTTATAAGTGTATATATAGGCTCTTGATTAATCACACCCCGCCATTTAGATTGTAAAACCTCTTCTTCCTCTCGCGGTCACGACGGTCCCCTAGCGTGACACAGTGCCAGGGGCTTCCACCCCATGGCATCCAAAGTGCTCCCTTCGGGAGACAGTGAGGTCCAAAAAGGATCGAAGGTGGATCCTACTTCACAAAATCAGAGACAAGGAAATCCCAAGCATCGAGCCCGGCGTTAGTCACTCTTCAAGTGACCTCCACAAGGAAAAAGAGAAAGTCGTCTGAAAGGTATGGAGCGGCACCACAAATCGAACTGGAGGGCATGGTTTTCCCCCGGGAGTGATGTGCTCGAGAGTCGTGGTGGCCCGGTGCAAATGCAAGGCCTTGTTTGCGAGCAGTGGCGGTGAGGTTCTTCATCCACTGGATAAGCTGGCGGAAAGTTACGTGTTCGTCAGACATGATGGAACATTTGTGTCCCTGGAAGGCGAAAAACACCGCGAGCTCAGTGTAAGAGCACATCAACTCAGGGCCCTCCTTCCATCTCAGAGCGGCAATAAAGCGCCCAAAAGACAACCAATCATCCACAAGAATGTTTGCATTGGCCACAACGCTGGCCGGCCACCCTCCAAGAAAAACGCAAGGAAACTCAGTAGTTTTGCTGTTCCATGGTAAACGCGGAAAGTGCTGTTGGGGCTGAATCTGCATTTCATCATTGTCATCCTCTTCAGGTTCTTCGAACTGGGGAAGAGAAATACCAACGAGCTTGCTGAGCGATGTCAGCCAGGTCTGTCGTTCAAGGGTTGCTTCAAGTAAGCAACTGTAGACATCAGGATGGACCAGGGAGCAAGCCAATGCGGCTCGTTTTGCAGCATGGTCGGCATGTCTATTATTCGCTATATCAAGTTGTGTTGTTGAGTGTGCTGTGGCCATATCGCAATCGATAAGCTCCAAAGGAATGTGTTCCAAAACATGAGACGGTATCCAAGCGACTTCAAGCGGCGAGACATGTTCCTCATGGCGTTGTTGCCACACATGATGCAACCCTTTCCACCAAGGCAAGTGAGGCCACGTGGGGTGAACACAATCATGCTTGATCATGAAAAGAACATGCTTAACAAGGGTCTCACAATCAGTCCTGATTTCGACAGGTGTGGCAGCAAAGCAAAACGCATTAACAAGGGCCCATAATTCTGCAGTGTAACTGCAGAGAGACCAATGGTGCACGGGACCTCGAAGTATGACTTGTCCATGCTTATCGACAACAGCATACCCAGCGCAGGACAAAAGGAAATGCTCAGGCCACATAACAGAGCCATCGGTCCAAAGGGAAACGCGGGGTTGGTTGCAATCCCAAGGACTCACAACAATGTCGTGAAACGAGCTGATCTTGAGTCGAGCGGCGGCAACAGACCAGGGGTGTTCGACAATACCAAGGAGCTCAAAGTTCCGACCGAACTCATGTGCAGGAAGAGATTCCTTGGTGGCATGACACAGGCGACAACTGGGCTCATCAACAAACTTGGCGGCTGCCAAGCGATCGTTGGTCAACAGACAGCCAACAAGCTGGGCTTCAAAGAAGGCTTTGGCAGGGATCTCATCCTGAGTGTCAGGGGGGGGCCTTACAACTATACAAGGTAGAGAGGTGAGGATCAAGTAAACCTCCAGGCGCAAGAATGTCCTTGCGATGTCACGAAAGGTAGCTTGAGCTACCTGAGTTCTCCTTGCTTTAGCAAAAATGTATTACAGTCAGGAGTTGGGATTGTGCATTGAATTTGGTCCTGTAAGAGTTGATTCTGTTCGTCGGGGGGGGGGGGGCGGCGGCCCCCCCCCCCCCCCGATCAAATCCCCCCTGCGCCGGTTCACGCCGTCGTGGACTTCTACCAGGGTTACTTGTGATTGCCTGCTACCTTTCGTTCACCCCCTCCTCTCTCAAGTTGTAAAGATGCTTGTGCATAACAGGCATGCTTGGCAAGGTGCTGCAACATCTTTTTGGCATCCTTGGCCGTGAGGTCAAGAAAATCACATAAATCTCGCCCACGAAAGCTAAGCCTACCCTCATCACTCAAGTACAGACTAAAGTAGCGAAAGGCCTGTCTAAGAGCTTGGCCCACAGAGCGATGCTTAGGGGATGCATTGGGTAACAAAGCTCTAAACTTATTGGCTTGCTCAGGGTATTGGTGCAAATACCTAAGGAGGTCGAGAATGACATTGTAATGTCGAGCGGTGACTGGTTCAACACGATGTGGTTTGGTGAGCAAAGCGAAAACAAGGAACCGCGAACGCCCATGGGGGCGCTTTCCCCAGTGTAGGTTTGCAATGGCACCTTGGATTTTGGCAATGCATTTAGCGGGAATCTGGTTGATGGCTGCGGCATAGGTGCATTGTGGCACAACTTTAATCCCAACGAGTTTAGATTTAAGAGCAACAGGCAGTGGCAGGGCAGCAATGTTACGAATGTCTGCGACGATCTTGTCACACTTGGCGTCAGAAAAAATGCATGGCATTGCGGCCACTAGTTCGAATGTTAACCCCTAAAACATCGACTCCAAGTTGAAGTAGCATGGTGGGAAAAAGGTGTTTGACTTCATGCCTGGCAGCAGAGGAAGTACCCCATGTCGTGCATTTGGAGTAGTTCATGGTTTGCCCAACGAGTTGGTCCCACTGTTCGGTGAGCTCTATGGCACGCTTAAGTGAGGCACTACTAGTGAGCTTTGCCCACAGGTAAGCATCATCGATGCATGCTTGTGCATCAGGCAACAGAGCGATCAGGTGAACCCACACTTTCATATGCACATTAATGGCAATTAGAGAGAGGGAACACCCCTGGGCAACACCATTGGGTCCATGAGTGGGATATGTGGCGCACCAAGATTTGAAAGCAAGGTGCTTCTGCAACTGGGCGTAAATTTTAGTGAACACAGTGACAACACACTTGGGAACACCAAACGCATGAGTGCGGCTGCGTACTGGGGAATGATCATATCAAAGCACTTAGATTTATCAATCTTAACTCCAAGAAGGGCTGAATGATGATGCTGTGCATCCTCAAGCGAAAGTGCATTTGTTTGGGCTTGAACTGAATTTGAGTACCGCGCTCCCGTGGGCCGGGCCCCCAACAAGCACCTTGATGAAGAAGGGAACCAATAGCATCGTCATTGGCACGAGTCCAAACTTCATTGATAGAAAGAGAGGAGTCAAATGCAAATGAATCAGGTTCGACAGGGAGGTCACAACCCTGGTTACACCTATCAAGGATCAAGGGGGCAGGTTTGAAAAGAACAAAACCAGTCTGCCAGAGAACTTCCCACTTGAAGGAAACGCGAATAGGTCTGTGTTGCACTTTAAGTAATGGCATGACTTCAGCTTGTGCCAAAGCGGCTGAAGCAATACGATTGACTAAAACCCCGTCAATGCTGCTACACCCATCGCCTGGACCAGTGAAGATGCCATTGGCGGAAAAGTGAGGGGACGAAAGTCACCTGGAGAGTCAACAAGAGTGAGAGCATCATTCCAGTGGTGATGGTGAACAGCCGTGGACGCCGAATGATATTGCAGTGGTGAAAGCTGAAAATCGGCGGCGATGATCACAGGGATGTCCCCAAACTGCGCGACAATTGTAAAAATGTACTGTAGCAGTTGGTCATTGAAATCCTGAATGCTGCTGTCTTGAGTTGCACCAGTTTTACAATAGACAGAGAAAAGCAACAGTTTCAAAGTCTTAGACACTTGAATCCAAGTTGCATGGACTCGTTTGGATTGATGCAGCTTCGAAAACAGCCCGGAAACATCGTCGGACGGCAAGAAATCACGACCGAGCTCCCTTGGTGCAAGAATAGCAACCCCACCATGGGGCGTTCGTTTGACACCATGGGTTGAGAGAAGCCCTGGCAGGAGTTTCCCATGGAAAAGACAATGTCCGTGCTGTTCAGCCATCTTGGTGGCGGAACGAATACAGTTCTTGCCAACACGAGTTCTTGTAAACAAATAGCTTGAGCGTTCCAAGCCCTCCAGTGAGTTGCAGTATTGAGGGAACCGATGTTGGCACTAATGAGGGTCCAAACGGGAGGATCCCCAGGTCCTTCACCGGGAAAACCTAAGGTTGAATCGAAGGCAAAATGCCTAAAGGTGAAGTGCGGTTGTAACAAAAAGGGAAAAAGACGAACCAAAGCGACAAAACAGCAACGCCAGCGATCTTTTTCAATACGCTGGGCGAAGAAACGTGCGAAGTGAGGACCTCGACTGACTCCATGATCTGAATTGATGGACCAACAGGTCCCGGTGCACGAAAGCTGCCTCGTACGGGCAAATGCATGCTCCTTTGCTTGCACACAAGACACAGAGAACGGACAAAGACGTGCAAAGACAAGACAGAGACAGAGCAACGAAAGCACGCTGGAGCGAAACATGAACGTCCAGGCATCGGTTGGCCTAGGACAGCGCAAGGCAAAGATTGAACTCATGGAATTGCAAAAGGGTTGTTGCCAACCACCCATGGCAAGGCCGTGTCACGGATGCACCTCAAAAAGACAGACACCAAGAAAGTCCAGGAGAGCCCAGACAAGAACAAAATCCAAACGGAGAGGGATGAAGGCAAGCCTGAGGGCCTTGGAAGACCCCGTCATGAGTTCCTGGAGTGTTTGGGAGGTGGCGTTTCCCCCGAAGGTTCATGCGCTCGTGCAGTCTGAGTGAGATTGACGAGCTGCCTCAGCGTGTTGGAAATCTCGGAGAAACGATCATCAAGCTTACCTTCAAGAGTCGTTTGCTTAGACTCGATGCCCGCAACTTGTCCCTGAAGGGTGTCAAAGCGCGCTTCAAGGATCTCAAGTCGGTGCTTCTCAGGAGATGGTCCCGAGGGAGCGGTGGTAGTGGGACGATTGGGTGGATTCTCCTTGTTGGAGCTTGACTTCTTCCGACCCTGCTTGCCCTTACCTCGACCCT